CTGTTGATCATTACACAATTGAAACAATCATGTTAACATGTGAGATTATTTTACTAAGAACTGAACAGCACAAACAATAAGAAGATTGACATGTATACATACTATAACAAACCTCAGAGTCTAGAAAATTGTTAGTTACATAATAATATGTATGGACTCAACTAATTAATGTGGAGGCAATAATAGCACAAACAGAAGCCATACACAAGTACATGTAACATTAAAGCAGTCCAATATAACACAATATGAATCACACACAATAACTGGATCCACTATTAGTAGCAATAGACTGGATAATAGACTCATCATTATAATGATTACAATGCTCTAATAGGAGGGACCTACAAATTACTATGGACCTTATTCTCTGTCTAATTCATTAGCATACAACCATCAGAAATACACCTACCAACTCTAATACATACACCACTGAACATATACTGTAAATCCATTAATAATACTGATCCATACATTTTAACCTTTCCCTGTATTTTGTTAAAGTTAATGTTATGAATATACTACTGACAGAAGTTAATATACCCACCACTGTAAAAACGTTACTCATAAAGGTCGTTAGATTATTTGTGTTTAGAGTAGACTATACCAGTGTACCAGCTAGTGTGTTTAACCAATAAAGTTTGTTTTTGATATTTTCTGTTACATTATTACTTGTTAATTGAATCCTTATGTCATGTACAATGTAGATAGTTTGAATTGTTTTCCCAACACATCACATTGAGTTGGTAACTATAATATACTGTACATGTACATGTATACAGTCATATGCTACCTAGAAAAGGTTAGCTAGTTTTATTTTTTAAAAGCTTTATATAAAAATATTAGAAGGCAGTAGTAATCTTCAGTAGTATCATTTCACAGGATCTTCTGTGGGCTTAAATGTCTCTCATATTCTTTATTGGAATAGTTATGTATGAAATGTTTACTCCTCCAAAAACATGTACATGAGTGGTTAATCATTGTAGTAGATTCCTTGGCATATCATTTACTGGTAGAGTAGGCTACAATTAATTATT